TTTTCGTCGGATTAAAATAGGTTGAAGGTCTCTTGTTTGCTGTTACTGGCGTATCTCCCTTATTTTTTTTCAGTAAATCTATAGCAAATGGAATGATTCAAAAGACCTAAGGTCTATGTAATTTTGTGGAGTGCGCATACTTCACAGAACTGCAAAAATAACTTTTGCTGTTTCATCCTCCTTGTTGAAAAGTTTGACTCGAATTCAAAGCTCTTAATTAACCCACGCGAGAAATTTTGCTTTAGACTAATATCCTCTTTTAAGCTTCAACAGGAGATTTTTTTCCTTGTCTTGGATTTCCAGCTAATTTAGCCAATTGTGTGTAGCATAAATTACCTTATGTGAACTTTGTGTTTGCTTATCGTACTAGGTCAAGCCAAAGATCCCTTCCGTTTTTCGTATACGATTGAACACAAAATTTATGAAGCAAGCGCAAAGCTTTTTTTATGCTATGGATCATATGTTGTCTACAGGTTGTGTAAACGTTACGTTTTTCTAAACTCTTTTGACAATGCCACTTTTCGACTAAGTAAATCGCATGGAGGGCATTTGCTTTGATAATCTGTGCAGATCTTAGACCAGCTCGTGCTCTTGAGGCACAACAGACAATAGCACGAGTAATAGTCCAAATCCTGACATCTCTTGAGAACTATTGAAATTCCTTTTCTATCTCTCGCTCTCGATTCTCATTACTGATTGCTATTGTGGTTAAGGGTGTAAGGCTCGCTTGTCGTTTTAGAGTCATCAGGGTAGGCCGAAGCGCTTAATGCCAGCATAAGCATGCAGTTGCTAGTCACCAAATAATAATCGTTAAAGGGAGACTGTAATTTTATCAAAATCCCGCTAGCCCCTAGAGTTGAGTCGAGCCCTATGTCACATGCAGGAAAATCGCTACGCGCTTCAATAAAGTATAGCGCATTTAGAGAAGGTTCTACATAGCTAGAACCCTCAGAGCAGGGACTGATCAACCGGTATCAAAGGAAATTTCTGTTCGCTTCTCTAACAAATTTGTTCCCCAAGTTTTTTCCTTCTCATGCAGTGCAAATTAAGAAAAACACATTATCACTTCTGTAAAATCCCCTGACCTTTGCTCAGCGTGATTCAAGATGGTAAGGCTTCGTATTGCCTATGTATACACCATTTCAGAGTATAAAACTCCAACAGCAAGAAGCCTTCACTTTGCAG